GGACCCGAATGATGAGGAGAGCCAACTACGGCAGAGGCTCCGAGGTGCGGATGAGCCTGTTTTAGGGGAGGAACAGACGGAAGGAGACCCTCAAGTCTGGGACTCAGTGGGAGATCGGGGCAGAGGCGAGATGAGGGTGGGGTGATGGCCAGTGCCACATCAATCTGGGCTGTGTGCCACGGTCTGGATTCTGGACCCCATTGGAGGATGCCTGGCCGTCATTAGAAGGTTTTAAGCTGAGAGTGACATGATTTATGTTTTAAAAAGGTCACCCTGTTAATTTTCATTTAGCAAACATCGACTGTCTACTTAGTAGATTCATCTAAGAGCCATGAAATGCTCTGGACGCAGGGGGAGCAAAGTCCAACAAGCAGAAGCTTTTAAAGGTATAAGCCAAACGTGGACCATGGTGCTCTGAGCCCATTAGCCTAATCGGCAGATCAGACTTGATTGAACATCAGAGAAAAGCAGCCATGAGAAATCCAGAGTCTGGACGACCCAGAAAGAGGCAGTGACACAGAGAGCGCGTGGCCCCAGGGACCTGCAGGGGGACCCAGCCAGAGAATGCTGGGTCTCTACCATGCACTCACAGGGGTTATCTGCGAAGGGGGCTTGCTCTCCCTTCCTCAGCCTGGCCCTTGATTTCCTGGAGTCCTGTACTTATGGCTCCAGCGTGGGGGTGCTGGAAAAGGTAAGGGAAGAGCAGTGGGGTCAACTGCATGGCAGGACCAGATCCCTTCTTACAGCAAAAGTCTCCTGATCTTCCTGTTGGAAACTGTCCACTCTGAGTCCCTGTGGGTTAGGTGGGGACTCACCTCCAGGTGAGTTCCAGGCCTGGAGGGAGACACCAGTGAGCAAGGCCTGGGTCATGACAATTTGCAGGCGACAGATTGGATTTAGCTGTGGCTTGTGATGCAAGCCTGCCAGGCTTCCACGAACGCGTCTACAAAAGCCTTTACCAGTGGGGCTGGGCCAGCACACCCTGGGAGTGTGAGGGAGCATGTATCTGTTTCCCTCTGGGAAACATGTGCTTGGAAACCCGGTGGGCCCTGCCCGGGGCTGTGCTGGCCTGTGTTGCAGTCAGCTGCCCAGACCTCAGGCCAGGTCAGCATTATGGGTTGAAATGTCCTCCCGCAAATTCACGTGTTGAAGTCCTCTCAGTAGTAGATGGGACCTTATTTGGAAACGGGGTCCTTGCAGATGCAATTAGTTAAGACGAGGTCATACGGAGTAGGGTGGGCCCCCACTCCAATAGGCCTGGTGTCCTGATAAAAGGGAGAATTTGGACACAGACACACACGCAGAGTGTGGAAAGGCCGTGTGAACATGAGGGCAGAGGTGGGGGTGAAGCTTCTACAAGCCAGGGAGCATCAAAGATGGCCCGCAAATCTGTGGAGCCGGAGAGAGGCCTGGAACCTCGGAAGGAACGGACCCTGCCGACTGCTCATCTTGCACTTCCAGCCTCCAGACTGTGGGATGGGACATTTCTGTGGCCCCAGCCCCCAGTCTGGGCGACCGTGAAGGCGGCCCTAGCAGCCCAACACACCTGACGACAGATGGTTTGTCGGCCATGTCTGGGGCACGGAGGGGACGAGGGGACGGGGCACAGAGGAACCTGGCTCCTGCTGCCTGGGTGTCTGGCCTTAGTCAGCAGGTAGGAACCTCACTGGCTCCAGGGAGCCCGTGGGGGCAGAAATGAGGAGGCAGGCGGGTGCACCTTATTCACATTTAGAAGGCACCCTGCTGAAAAAGCATTTCGTCAAGACTCTCTGATCACCTCTTCTTTCTTGAATACTGGGCACAGACTGCATTACATACGGACTGTGTGAAGTCCCGTTTGTTAGACAACAACGTTCCGTGTTTTCCTGGGAGACACACGGGGCTGTTCTCTCTTTCATAAAGCAATAGACTTTTCCCTAATTGTCTTGGGAACACATAACTTCCCTCTGCCTACATTTGCTTTTTTCACTTTTGGGCAGAGACATGACCAGGGAGCACTATTTCTCTGTTCTGGGGAAAGTGATGGCACAAACCGCAACTCTGAGTCAGGGAGACAATCTGGGTGTCCTGCTTGGAGGCGGCAAATCCACTGTTCCCGATGAGGGCAAAGTTGGGTTGTAAGCCCCATTTCACCAAAGCGTCTATTTTCAAAAGAAGATAGAAATCCAGACTTTTTTTCTTTAGGTGAAATGGCCGAAGTGTTCAATATTGACTCAGTCTTTGTCTCTTCTGTAACCTGTTTTATCATCCTTTCTACAACTTACGACAATCTGAAATTTGTTTTGATGTTAACCCCCCACCCGAGTAGATGTAACATCCTCGAGAGCAGGCATGCCATGTTTACTCTCCATCTCCAGTGCCTGCAATAGTTCCTAGCACACAGTAGGTGCTTAGTAAATACCAGGTGAATAAGTAACTGATCCATCACTTGATACTGTTGCATGGATACAAGAATTTCATGTACTTTTTTTTTTTTTTTTGGCGGAAGTCTCCGGGCTGCATTTGACTATTAGAGGAACCTAAAAGTCAACCTTTTTCATTCAGCCCAGAGCCACCGTGGGCATATCTCAGGAAGCTGACATCTGAATGTACGTGTGAGATCCAAGGAAAAGACAGAGCAATTTTCCTCACTGCAGCCTACAGGGAGCTGGGATATACGCTTGCCTGCCATGGTTCTCACTTACCACCATCAGTCAGCAGGCTTTTAGCAGAGAATTGCACATGTGATTTATTTGAAAATCCTTTCAGGTCCTGAAGGAGAGATACTTAGTACACAATGCACTTTGTCATCATGTGTCAACATTGCCTCGATGCGGAGAGCGACATTACACCACGTAAGAGTGTAATTGGATTGTGCTGGGATCCTTAAATCTGCATTTTCATTTACCAAGAGCCACAGCGTTTGTGGAGAGCCATCTGCACTTGACGGCAGCCCCTCAGAGGGGGTCAGCGTGTAGGAAGACAAAGGACAGCCATAAAGCCGCTGAATGCAAACTTTATATTTACAGTCGGTAAGTGTATAAACATATATTACATTCTTACGATCTACAATACATTCTGCAGGGAGATGGATCTGTGAGCGGGCGGCGGCTGCCGCATTAAAGAGGACATCGCGCGGGTACAGGTGGAAAGAAATATCAGCAGGGCTACTGAAAGCAAAGGACTGTCATTGAGAAGGGGTGACAGTTTAATCGCCCCACCAGACGCGGTGAGTCGACTCGGGGATGGGAGCAGGTGGCTTACAGCTGGTGGAATCCCAGGCTTAGAGCCAATGGGGAGCACCTCGGTTGGGGGAGGGGTAAGCTGGAGGAAGGGACACCCATGATCTAAGGAGAATTCAATTATATGCATTAAGGAGGGGTGAGGGGAGAGGGCAAGGCGGGAAGGAGGAGAAGAGAGGGAGGGAGGGACACGGAGAAAGAAATAGGGTCAGGGAGACACAGAGACGGAGAGACACACAGAGAAAGAGAGAAAATGGAGAAGAGCATCGCGGAGTGGAGAGACAGAAAACGACAGAGGAGAGAGCCCCCTCCCCCACCACGTGCCCTGCCTCTACGTGGCCCTCCTTACCAGGGATCCCGCCACCCTTTCCCACCTTGGCGGGAGCTAGAGCTGGGGCAGGAATCCGCTCATCTCTCCCCCCACCCGCCTTCTTAGCGGCTTCCCATCCGTCCGGGCATTTGGGAGCCATTCCGATTTCAAGCAACAAGGTTAGAGCTCTCAGGACAGACTGGGGTCTCCCTCTCTCCCTCAAGCTCGGGCACCTCCATCCCTCCATCGGTCCAAGCCCACATGGGGGGTGTGAACAGGCTTCCTGCCCGGCCCCCCTGCGGCACAGCGGGCCCTGGCTCCCCCCGGCCGTGCACTCCACCTTGGTCCACACCCATCTCTGCAGCCATGGACAGGGGACCCGGTGTGGCCATCCACGGGGCCACCACAAAATGGCTCCCCCGTCTTCCCAGAGGTGCAGGGTGATGAGTGTCCCTTGGTGTTGAATTCACGGTGAGAACCGCGAATCCTCGAAGACCCGCCTCTTCAAGGAAAGGACATGAGTGACGTTTGCCTGGTGCGGCCACTGCAGAGTGTCACCTGGAGTGGATATACCTGCCACGGGGGAGTGCTGGAAAGGCCCCCGTGCCCACAAGTGAGCGAAGGCTCTTAGACAGCTCGTGGGGCAGAGAAGTGCACATTTGAACACAGTGAACTTGCCCAAAAAAGCCTGGTTCCTTGAACCGGATCGACATTCTGTGCCCTGTAACCCTAGTTTACCAATAAAGGGATGCCCGAATCCCCCAGAGGGCTTGCTCCTTTGTTCTTGGCATCTGGTTACAAAGATATCCGTGGCCTATTTGCCTACGTGTGCCCCTTCAGTCTCCGTCGGCAACGCCTGGTCAGTCAACAGGGCGCACCGGTCTTTGGGTGATGGCACCCCAGGATGACACCCCTCCCCCGGGTGCTGCCCACGCTCCGGACATGGCCCATGGTTGTGCCCCGGCTCAAAAGACTCACTGCCTCCCGTCGGTCCACTTGCACTCCACCTGAGTCTCGGGGTTCTTCCAGAGTCTGCAATAGTGAGTTCTGGACCCACGTGGATTCCACCACACCCAAAGGGCTTTGATTCAAGAGAGAAAGAGAGTGATGGGCCGGGGCGGGGGGGCTCTTCTTTCCTGGGACCCATCAGAAGCTCAGTGATTCAGAACTCGTTTTTCTTCCAAGTTTTACAAACTTTTCCATGCACAATCCGCCTCTTAACCCTGGCCAAGACACTGCGTGCCGGGACGTGCGCCTCGATCCCAACGTGGGGCCACCCCAGCCGAGCCGGCGCCGTCTGCCGGGGCTCTGCTGAGAGGGGCGATCTTATCCGTCTGCCGGGGCTCTGCTGAGAGGGGCGATCTTCTCTTGTCTTGGCACTTCACTCCTTTCCCGGGGGCGCCCTTGTCACACGTCCCCAAGTTAAAGGCTGAGAGGTGAGTGAGAACCCGTGTCCGCGAGTGTGCGGCTTACACATCCTCACGTAACCTTTCCATGTAGTCGTGTGGCTGTCGGCTTTCCCCCGGGTCCAGATCCTGGCAGACCCAGCTCATGTCCTCACTGCTGGTCGATATGGGGTTCACGGTGGGGCATCCTTCATCCGAGGGGATGGTGGTGAAGGTGGTAAATTTCACTCTTTTCCTTTTTGAGGTAGGGGACGTCGGGGGCTCGCTTTTCTGATCCTTCCCGTCCACGACGGTGGGGCCCGAACATTTGAACAGCTGTCCGTTGATGCTCTTCTGGGAGTTTGTGCTGAGCAGATACTTACTCTCTTCGAAATCCATGCCCCTGTCAATGGCAGTGATCTGCTCATCCTGGCAGGATGCAAAGTTAATGTGGTTCTCCAGCAGTTCGGAGCGGTGGCTCAACCCGACCCAGTCGTGCGAGTGACTCAGACCTTCTTGCTCCTCCAGGGGAACCTGCTTGTGCCTGTATTTCAGCGCAAAGGCCACACAGTTTATTAGGAAGACCAAAATGGCCAGGCAGAAGACCCCCAACAGAGCGTACATCCCAATCTCCAAGTCACTCAGCCCTTTGGATGCCTGCGTGAGGCCGTTCTCGTCCGTTTCCCCGTTGCTTCTGGGCAGGTCCCCCTGGGTCGGGAAGCTGGTGAGGTCGATGGGGATGGTCTGCAGGCGGCTGTCATCATCTAGAAGGCTTCCTTGGCTCTTCTTTCTCTGGAAGGTTGGCCTCTCTGTTGTGGACCCTCTTCCTTCCATGAGGCCCACGGAAGAACTGCTATAAAACGGGGCCCCCTGGATCCCCCATTCCTGCAAGGGTTTTTTGGGTCTTCTGTCACTGACGTTATTTTCTAGGTGAACTCCTGCCCCAGTGTGTCTGCTGTCACTGGTGTTGGGGTTCGCATCATTTTGGCCAAACTTAACTTTGATGTTGGCTGTCCCCACGGCCAGCACACTCTTCCGCTTGGATTTCTGGCACGATTCGCTGATGACCATTTCAACCTTTACCAGAGCACCCTGCCCTTCGGTTTCAGCAGCGATGATGGGCCACTTGAATTTGGGGTCTTGGTGGATGGAGACCACCTTTTCGTCCAGGGAGGTGGTCATCAAGGAGAAGTCTTTCCCATCGTAGATATCCAAGGGGGTGATGGAGCCATCGCTGAACTGGACCCAGCAACTGATGGCCGCTTCCTGTTGAGTAAAATAAGTCAGTAAGCATGGGCCCCAGAGCTCGCGGAACACCAAGTCTTTGTACAGTAGACATTCGGTGGCAAAAATAATATGACAAAAACAAAGGAATGCCTTTGAAGCAGTGCAGAAACCAGAGGCCAGACGCACGAGGGTCATGGAAGAAAACCAATGCTTATGGAGGTGGGAAAGGAAAGAACACAAGCAAGGCCTTGACATGAGAGTGAAGGGGGGCCGGTGTTAAACGCCCCATAAGAAGATCTGCTTTTCTTCCCCGAGGGGTTGAAAGAAAGATGCGGTTTTTAGGGGTGCCTAAATTGCATGGCCAAAGGTATTCCTGATTAGTGGGATCATTTACGAGTGTCACACATTTCAAGGGAAAATATTTATGACATTATTTTTAAGCTGTTTTAATCCCGAGTCTCCCCTCAGTACTCACAACGGAGATGAAAACCCCCCCTTATCTGACAGGGACACCCAGAGGTACCACAGGTTTTGGTGGTATTGGTCCTGCTGCATCTGGGACTACGGGAGTAGGTTTGTGTGAGTTTCCAGACACAACGTTGACTTGGAGACAGGGAGTTAAAACAGCCAGGGAGAGAGGCACTCTACGTGGGCTGTGCCTGCCACCCTCTACCCCCTCAACCAGTCAGGGGAGATGGGGAGACCAAGGAATGGCCAGGGCCAAGGTCTGCACACAACTCAATCTCTTGCCTTTTTGCTTTGTTGCTTTTAGATCAACCCTCCTTGGGACTAGTTGGACCAGGCAGACCATAAAAAGGAGGTACTTTCTGATTGAATGAGAGCCTTTAATTTCAGGGAAGAGGTCATTGTGCCTGACTGTGAACTGGCCCTCCCTTCCCCACATCTCAGAGAACCTGCTCCACCCCAAGCCCAGAAGGATGAATAGCCTGGAGAGGCACATGACCCCACACACCCGGCCATGGCGCCACAGTGGATTGGACCGGGGACAAGGGGGCAGGAAGTGGCCTTCAGAGCCGTTATTCTCCACAGCTCTGAGCCAATGAGTATCTCTCTCTTTTTCTCTCTCTCTTAAATTTGAAATAAAACAGATGGGATTGAAGCCTGAGCTGCAGGAAGTTGAGTGGGGACTCACATAAAACTAGGGAGTGGAGCCCACCTCCGAGCCACCACAATGGATCAGAAATAAGCAAATGTCTGGGCCCAGCATTTATTACAGGGAAAGAGAAAGAAATGCAGCAGAAGGAACGGCGCAGGGCAGGGAGTGTGGGCATGGGGAGACTGCCAATACCCCGCCTCTTCTGAGTTCCTGCAGCTGGGGTCTGGGGGAGCCCCTGGTCCTGGTAATAGATCCCTCATGCTTCAAGCTTGCTTGAGTGGATTTCTCTTTCTGGCAACCGAAGAGGCCCTGAGCATGAGCGAAGCCGGTTTTACCCCGGTGCTGTCTGGTGTCTGGAGGCTTCCTTCAGCTCCGCCACGAGACATGGCTATTGTTAGACAGCTACTAATTACCCACCTGGTGCGTGACCCACCTGGTGGTGCTGTCTGGTGTCTGGAGGCTTCCTTCAGCTCCGCCACGAGACATGGCTATTGTTAGACAGCTACTAATTGCAGAACGCTGCCAAGACACAGCGCAAGAGCCCCTGGACGTGACATCGACTCACCAGGTTCTTCCAATCTGCCAGGAAATCGGAGCAGGAAACTCAAATGCCATTGGATTTCTTGAGACTGAAATGTCAGAGCCAAGTGCACGCAGGGACTAAGGGCCATCCAAACCAAGTACGGAGCCGACCGTACAGGGGAGCATGTTCAGCTCTGCATGTCACAAATGGATTAGCTCTCTGGCCCTGTTCTAACTGTGTCTTATTGCTTCCTTAAGTCCTGACTAGAGGTCCCCTGATTTTATCACCCCATGAAGACAGAAAGCAGCCCAGGCTTATTTCTCCTTTGTTATCTGTGCCTTGCATCCTGGCTTATCCGGCCCTGAGGAAAAGGAGGTTTGTCTTTGGCAAGAATTCCTATCTGTTACTGGAATCATCCACGTTCAAGTGTTTTATAATCCAAGCCCCTGCACACAAAGACCATAGCAAAGGGGCAGAGGGATTAGCCAACACAGGACGAGGAGCTTGAGGTGCAACATGGGTGCAGGCTGGAAAAATGGGAGGGTTCTGTGTGTCCTGGGACAAGTCCGGCTCGGCTCAGAGCATGGTCACAGTCTCAGCGGTGCCGGGGGTGGGGCTGCCCAGGGGACACCTGCCAGGAAGGGTTCCCGCCCAGAAGGGAAGCCGCCAGGAAACCCCCCACCTGGGCTGGAGGCCCTCGAGCAGCCCCGCAGGAGGACGGTGCCGCTTCACGAGGCACAGAGACAATCAACAGCCGGACACCACTGTCTCGTTGCTCAGCAAGGTTCACCGAAGCCGCCACGTTCCCTCTAAAAAATAAAGCTTACTCTCCTCTGATGAGGGAGGAGCACATAGAACATTTGCGAATGTCCTATTTTCAGCGCCTGTCAGAAACCATCCCATCGACACACAAACACACACAGCACAGGGTCAGCGCCCGCTGGTGTCAAGTTCAGAGAAAGGAGATGCTGACTGACATCGCCATGGGGTCCTCACTTCCGCCCTGAGCTCAACCACAAGCCTGGCGAGAGCGACGCCTCCAATCTCCCATCACCCCAGACCTGCTACCCCATTTTCCCTGCAGGGACTCCACAGCAGGCTGTGGGCACCTCCCCGGGGGCCCCTCCGCCCCACCCGGGGCCCTGGGGGCAGCGGAAGAGTGTGAGACAGCCCAGGTGACTACCTGAACGCACCTGGCACTGTGGTTAATGGGGAGCAGAGTCTTTGTCCAGCCCCTTGTCTCCTGGTGGCCTACGATCCTTGACCCTGGGCAACCGTTTTTTCTCCTTGCAGCTCGTTTAGGGGAGCCAGGAAGCTAGGAGCTAGGAAGCATGAGCCAGATAATCCCCTGCCTCTCACACCCCTTTGCAGGCTGAGAACCCCCTGACGTGGGATCCCACTGTTCTGTGGGACCCCCAATTAGTGACTCCACCAGACGGATAACCTGATCTAACATGTGACCGCACCCCACTGTGTGACCTCGCATGATGTGTGACCCGATCAATGAATAACCCCACCTGACATGTGACCTGGCCTCACTTGTGACTCTTCCAGATGTCTGACCCACCTTATGTCTGACCCACCTGGTGTGTGACCCACCTGGTTCATGACCTCACTTGATGTGTGTCCCACCTGATGTGTGACCCTGGTGCGTGACCTCATCTGATGTGTGACCCACCTGGTGCATGACCTCATCTGATGCATGACTCACCTGGTGCGTGACCCACCTGGTGCGTGACCTCATCTGATGTGTGACTCACATGGTGTGTGACCCACCTGGTTCATGACCTCACTTGATGTGTGACCCACCTGATATCTGACCTACCTGGTGCGTGACCTCACCTGATGTGTGACCTCACCTGATGTGTGTCCCACCTGGTGCGTGACCCACCTGGTGCGTGACCCACCTGGTGCGTGACCTCATCTGATGTGTGACTCACATGGTGTGTGACCCACCTGGTTCATGACCTCACTTGATGTGTATCCCACCTGATGTGTGACCCTGGTGCGTGACCTCACCTGATGCGTGACCCACCTGGTGTGTGACCTCATCTGATGCGTGACTCACCTGGTGCGTGACCCACCTGATATCTGACCTACCTGGTGCGTGACCTCACCTGATGTGTGTCCCACCTGATGTGTGACCCTGGTGCGTGACCTCACCTGATGTGTGACCTCACCTGGTGTGTGTCCCACCTGATGTCTGACCCACCTGGTGTGTGACCCTAGCCCTGCCTCCAAACCTGTCTGGGCCTTTGCAGGAGCTCCTGAGCCGCTGCGGTGGCAAAGACAGCTCTGTTGCTCCCTGGGCTGAGCTGCAGGGAGAGTGACAGCCCTGTCACCAGCTGGACCCCGAGGTCTGTGATGGTCACCTTCTCATCCAGCACCGTGATGGTCTTTTCTGCCAAGATGGTGTCTGACAGAGGCGACAGGATCTGAAAGGCAGAACCAACATGGAAGGAAAAGCTTGCTGTGGCCCCAGAATTTCCTCCCATGGCATAAATGATGCTCGTAGAGACAGTCAAATGAGCCAGAGTGAACAGAAATGGGTCTTTCCCACTGATGTCTTCTTCCAAAAGATGTATCTCACACGATGGGGGGATCTGACGCCCCCCCACTACACGGATAGACCCCAGGACCCACCAGGCGCCCCCGCAGTCCTTCCGAGGAGGAACTGACATTGCCATTCACTGGGTGCCGGCTTCATGGCGCTTGCGCTGCACAATCATTTTCTATTACATGTGCATGTGCATCAAATAATTGGTTTAAGAAATTTCACAGCAGCAAGGAAAAACTAATTTTGATGTGCTAGTTACGTATTTATGTGTTTCTTTCTTACACACGTGTGTGACTGAGAGGAGACTGTTGGCCCATGTGTCACCTGAGTCATCCCGTGTGTCACGGCAGCTCACATTCCATACCTCGGGCAACACGGAGCGTTTGGGAGATCAGCTTGCATCCCCAGTAAACAGAGCTGTGAGTCTCTACCACCGGAGCCAACATCACAGAGTCTCATTTCTCCCGCAGACACCACGGTCCCGGGGAAATGAAGCTTATGCCCCATTTAGACCCTGCAGAGGAGGTCCTGCTTTTGTGGAACCCCTTGTCCCACTCACCCCTCACTCAAGTTTGAAGAGTTAACTTTGCTCCCTGTGAACCCCCAGCCTCAACCCTGGATGACACAGCTTCCGGCTTCTTTTAACTCACGTTCCTGACACGCTTCTCTCTGCGAGGTGGTGCTGATATTTATGAAGACGTATGTTCAGATGGCAGTTTTCCCAGGACCCCTGAAATTCGTGTATTGAGCTCCATAATTCTATCCAAATACCACCTTCGGTCTCAACGTCTGGTTTGGACAATTTGAATGGCTGTGAATATGAGTTATGGGTCCCCAGGAGGAAGGGGACAAGCGAATTTATAGCTCAGGAGGACTCAGTGGGAATAAGGAAAAGGGTCTCAAGACTCTGCCCCACCAGGACAGTGTCTGTGTTGAATGCATGGGAAGCCCGGACTTGTGCCATTGTCTTGGTGCTTACACCACCACATAGGGACAGTGGTTAATGCCGCTGCTCCTGGTTCCAGGCCACAGGTGTCAGTTTAGCCTGTGGACAGGTGGTAAGAACTTAGCTCTTTGGTTTAGGTCTTTCAACTAAAAGTCAATCATAGAGGTTTTGAGCTCCTGTCTAGGGGGCAGATAGGTTTTGTTTGACGTAAATAAAACTTTAAAATGGAATTAATGGCCACCCTTAAAAAAAAATCAGAGGATTTCATACAAAAAGATTTCTCGCTTTTCTGGAAAAGTTGCAACACCTGGTCGTGCTATATTTGCATTTCCTTCGGCAGCCCCGCCCTCGCCACACTCCTCACTGGCCCCTAACATGTTCCCAGCACTTGGGGCCCAAGTGAGCTGCTGTCTTTCAACTCACGCCCAGGCAGCTTTGCTCACTGTCACCTTCTCCGGTCTTCGAGATCATTGGAGCAAGTGACCCCTGGGTCACTTCAAACCTGTCTATTTGCCTCCTTGAGTAAAACGATCTCTTTTAAATAGCAGCCAATTTTCCAGAGCGGATATGCTTTAAATCTTGCATAATCAATACTTTCACTGACGAGGTTCCTCGTGCACAGCTGTGTCAGAAACCCCACTGACAGGCTAGTAGCCTGATTAGGGGCAGCTGCTGAACCATCATATTGTTCTCAGATGGGAGGCAGACGACTAAACCCAGGGGACCTCCCGGGACAGTGTTTTGGGGGAGTGTTTGTTCCAAAACATCCATGTTGCACCCTGGTCCTGCCCCATCCGTTCCTGGCTGCGGGTGCCCCCAAGACCGTGAAGGGCATAATAACTGTTCCTCTCCTCAGCTCGTGTCTGAGACACCCTAGTTCTCACTGGGCCTGGGGTGGGGCTGGAGGCAGCATGGCATCACGGCGCGGCGGAATGCTCTGACACAGGGTGATGGTCAGTGGGGTGGAGGGCTCAGCGAGAAGCGCGGGCCATGCCCATGCCCACGGCTCCCAGGAGGCCAGCTCACGCCCACAGCCTTCTCCCCACGATGGTAGCACCCAGCATGGTGCGGAGACAGTGTCCTGGGGTTTCAAACACGACCCACCCGGAGGAGCCATCCAGTGTTTGTCAAATGCAAGCAATAAGTGAGGAACTTTAAGACTCTTGTCACCTCCTTACACCACTTATATTATTTAGGTGACAATTTGGTTCGCTCTAGAAACAGATGTCCTAAGTAATGACAAACAATTCTCATCTGGGCAGAGAAGAGGCAGGGATACAGAGGGTGCTTGCGCTGGGGGTTGCCTACCTGAATGGTGGTCATCCCACGCTCCTGGCCGATCAGGACTTGTCCCCCCTGCAGCTTGGCGATGCGGGGCTCCTCCACCTGCATGAAGTCATCCACCAGCTCCGTGATGTCCACCTGCCAGTCTGAGCCCAGCAAGTGGGCCAGGTGCCCGCCCCGGTCCGCCGCCTCGGCCACGAACTGTGTCAAGACCCGCACCATGGCGTGCTGGTACTGGAGCGTGCAGCCGCGACCCCCCCTCCTGTCGTCATCCTCCTCTTCCTCGCTGTCCCGAGCCGGCCTGCCAAACGGTCAGGTCAGGTTAGCGGGTACTGACTTGGGGCCAACGGCAGGGGCTGCAAAGGGGAGCAGGCAGGGAGCCCAGCCTGGTGGGGCTCAGACAGAACCCAGGTGACAGATACCCCGAACGCCTGACCATCAGAAGGGCCTGGTGTGGTCAGCAGAGATCCGGGGTGTCCCCAGTGAGCCCCGCCTCTCAGAGCGCACTGGGCGGAGTCCCCTCCCTTTGAGTGCGAGCTGCTCCTAGGAACCTCCTTACAGTGGAAGATTATAGCCAAAGTTAGGGGATGTCACTTCCAGCACGCGGCTTTAAAAGAGACTGTGCCATCTGTCTTGCTTGGTAGTCTTCCCTTGGTTCTTCTCTTGCTTGCTCTGAGGAAGGAAGCTGCACATTGTGAGCAGCCCTGTCGGGCTAGCCACATGCCAGAGCAAGGGCCAGCGAGGAGCCGGGAGCCGCCGTTCCACAGCCCGTGAGGAACCACGGCTGCCGACCACCATGTGGGCTGGGAGGCAGGGCCCTCCACACCCCGAGCTCCGGCCGACACCCCGCCTGCCGTCTATGAGAGACCCCGCTAAGCCAAGCCTGCATTCCTGATCCAGAGACACTGTGAGATCATACGCCTCTGCTTCAAGCCCTGAGGTCTGGGGACTTCTCATCAAACTGTGCAGCACGGATAACTAATCTGATAGGGCTGTGGGTGACCGCAATAGCCCCATAAACCGGCACACAAGCGGTGGGTACCAAACTCAAGGTAACGTGACAGTAAGCACAGAAAGGACTGGGATGGTTTGGCTCGGGGACAGATGTTGGCTGCCCTCCACAGGTCTGATGCCTCCGCCCAGCCATCTCTTCCTGGTGCAGCGTGGTCTCCATCCGAGCATCAGCCCGGGGGGAGCTGGGATCTGAGCTGGACAGCGTGACCCTGAGATGTGCCAGGATCACCCTCAGCCAGTCTTCTGGCGTGTCCTCCCGGTGGCTGCCCACCTCGCAGCATCAATAACCTCTCCTAACCACACCCTGCCAGCTCCGCGGCACGGACCCCGCGGCCAAGGAGAGGGTCCCGCCAGCTCCGCGGCACGGACCCCGCGGCCAAGGAGAGGGTCCCGCCAGCTCCGCGGCACGGACCCCGCGGCCAAGGAGAGGGTCACTGCTGAAACCATCTTCCAGCCTGCATTCTCGAAGCTGTCCCCTCCCCCAGGGCACAGGAACTAACTGGGGTGGAGATCCAAGGACAGGAACAGAAAGGGCATCCCTCAGAGGACACCAGCTGTCCTCCCTACTGAGCACAGACACCTGGAGTGCTCCCTTCTCTAATTCCGCGTATGCTCACTTTCAACTTTCTGCAGGTGGCTGGCGTGCCGGTCCTTGGTCACGAGTTTCTCTGAGACGACAGAGTCTCTGAACAAAGAGCCTGACCTCTTGCTACTCTCCTGGTACCTGGTGAGCCGTGTGGATAAAGGACACCTGTCCCTCTAACAGATGCCTTAGGGTAAAGGACCAGGCACAGGGGGACAGGCTTCTGACTTCATCTCCCCGAGACCAATCAATCTCAGAGCTTCTGGGCTGGGGGCACCGAGAGGCTGCCCAGGTCAGCCAGAGTCTGCTCCCAGGTCTCTCTGGGGGACCTCTGTCGTTCGTGCCTTCCCAGAGTCAACTGGCCCCCTCTGGTATCGACCCATTGGTTCAGGCGCGGTTGACCTCTTCTGGGTGCTCTGATTCCAGGCAGGGGATTGTGCTGAAGGCTCATCGGACAGACCGTGTGCTCTATGTCCTCTCTACAGTACTGCTCCGGGGACAGGCACACAGCCGGAGCGAGGCCAGCGAAACTCCAGGACCTCTGCTGGAACCACTGGGAAGGACAGGATGCACTTCCTGTGAGTCTGGAACTGCAGGAGAAAAGCCTGGTGGAGAATGAGGCCAACACACAGCAAACCAGCCCCGAGCTGGGGACAGAGTCCCGAGGGTGCCGTTTGAATCCCTGGATCCAGTCATGCCTGCAATCAGCTACCTGCAAGTGTCTGTTTTTAGTGGAAGCATATTTGACTCGGGTCTCTGAGAGGGAGTCCTGACTAGCACACCCACCTTTTATTGGAGACAATGGGCACCCTCCAGCCCTTGATCTGGTTGAGCTCGGTGTCTGAGACCTCAATCTGCAGTGGGAGCCGGGGCACCCACACGGTCATCTCCAAGGAGCTGCTCAGGTGCTGGTAGGTGAAGTTCACCACCACGTCCACCTTGCCTTTCATTTCCTTCCCATTGACGAAGACGTAGTCACATCTGTCAGACACCTGGGAAGAGGAGGGGTGGGAGGCAGTGAGATCTTACCGTCCCCCACCACCGCGGAAACAGCCGAGAAGGTGGAGGAGGCGAGGCAAAGTGCCCTCGCTCTTTGAGGCATGAGCCCTGCAGTGGACGCTGCTCTCTGCTTTTGGCTGCAGCAGATGCTGTGGGGGTCTGACCACTTCCCCCGGGGACCCCTTCTTCCAGTCTGCATGCAGAACCCCCCTAGGCACCGTAGGCATGCGGCTGACCTCCCCTACTGCACCTCTGGCAAACGGCCCTTAGGTGTTGGGAGCCGTGCCCTCAGCCACTGGGTGCTGCGTGCTGCCCACCCACCCCCTAGCCTGCTGACCTCTGGTTTTTCTGGGGGAGGGACACTGCGTGCACAGCCACCACCCTGAGGGCCTCCTGCAGGCAGACTGAGGCTAGTTTCACGAAAACTACCCTGCTCAGTTCCCCTCATCTGTGCGTCCTGTGTTCTTTTGCTCCCATATAGATTTCTGCAGAGAACCTCCCACCTTAGTTGTGGGGGCGGATGTGACCCATACTCTTCATGGTTCCTTACGGAGTCCCATGGGATTTCTCCCCACTTGCCCAGTAGGGGCACTACCCCCTGCTGGTGTCTCTTCCTTCTTGCTTCCTGTCCTGCCCCCTCTCCTTCTGCCTCCTGGAGCCCCTCCCCGGTTAAGTCCGTATCCCAGGCTCTGCACCCCAGACGGGGACGTGGGCACATGTGAGCTCATGCCGTCCACCGGGCAGCCTGAGACCGGGCTCTCCCCCAGGAAGGGGCAGAGCCACAGTCGGGTGCTGGGGGTGCAGCTCTGCGGTCCACATTCTCAGCTCCTGCCCCGTACAAGGCTGCTCCTCTCTGCTGGTGTCTGAGAGAAGAACCAAGACCTCCTGTCTTTGTTTTCCAGCAATCCGGGGGCCCTCCTTCTCTCCTGAACCAGACCTGGGTACACGTGCTAGGCTGATTCATGGCCCCAAAGATGTCAGGCCCCGAGTCTCTGGAACCTGTCAGTGTGACCTTTTTCGGCAAAAGGGACTTTGCAGATGGGGTTCAATTAAGGATGTTGAGCTGGGCGGATTATCGAGGGTTGTCTGGGTGGGCCCCCAGGGTCATCTAAGCAACCTCACAAGAGGGAAGTGGAAGGAGATTGGTGGCTGCAGCAGAGGAAGGCCACCCAAGCGGGATGCCACGCGGTGGGCTCTGGCAACGCAGAACAGGACGAAGGCACCTCCAGAAGCTCAATAAAGCAAGGACATGCCTCCCCCTGGAGCCTCGGGAGGGAGCGCAGCCTGCGCACCTCTGGTCCTCGGGCTGCCCGAACTGCTTCCTGACACCTGACCTCCAGAACGTGCCGTGTGGAGCCCAGGCATGTGCTGGTGTGTTGCGGCGGGCCTCGGACACGGACACAAGCCCGAAGTGAGCATGGGGGGAGCACCTGCGTTGACTGAGCGCTTACCATGTGCCCGGACCAGCAGCTGAGCGCGGCACATGTGGTCTCAGCACGCACAAGCACCCAGGAGGCAGGGGGTTTTGTCCCGGGTTCACGGATGGTCAGCCTGAGGCCCCAAGATGTTCGGTAATGCTTCTCGGGGACACACAGCTGGAAACGCAAAGCCCAGACCCCTGGCCAGTCCACCCCAGCTGTCTCCTTCTGCAGGTGCAGCATCTCTGACTGAATGGTCCTCGCGGGCTGGATTCGTAAAGGATGCACACCTCCCCCCAGCACTTGGAGGGGCGTGAAGAAAGCAAAGCAGAAATTATCACATTGTTCCCACATCATAAAAAGCACTTCCAACAAAGGCCCCTTTCATCTCCGCGATTAGGCAGCCGGGATACAAAACACACAAAGGGGCGCAGAGAGGTTTGGCATCTGGGGATGATCAGGAATGACTCTGGAGAGAAACGTGGACACAGGCCCATTGATGAGTCAGAGGAGGTTGTCATCCTAAATATCTGCCAATAGCAAAAGTACTTAAGTCTGATGGAAAGCCCGAATGGAATGGCTCAGGAGGCTTTGTCGCCATTGTGGCCTGGCCACAGTGCTCCTTGCTGTGGGCCTGCAGTCTCAGGCTTTTTCTTTTTCAAGTCTTCCAGCAAATCAGGCTGATTGTCACAGATGAGCTGACTGGAGGGAGGGAGGGGGAGGACTGTAAGACCAGTTTTCAGGGCCATGGGCTGTTTCAGGGATGTAACTTTCTGGCCTCTCGGTGGAGGAGGTGTTCTAGGAGAAGAAGGTGGGAGAGCGTCTTAGGCGCGCCTGCCACCCCAAGCCCCCCGTGGAACACAGAGCAGAGGAGGTACTGGGGTAGATTATGAATACAGAGCTAAGTCTTCATGTTGTGTTACATTTTGCTTTGCTTTGAAGCTCAGTATTTATTCCTTTAGGCAATAAGAAGAGGGGGAGCGAGACATTGCTAAAAGGAGGGAAGGCAGGACTTCACACTTAAGCAGTGTCCTTTGAGAGGCAGGTAGAGCCTCGGCACCTGGGGTGGGAACTGCAATACTGGGGCTGAGGGCGGGGTGCTGAGGTAGAGGTATGCCCGTGTGTGCACGCATGTCCGTGTGCATGTGTGGTATGTGCATGTGTGTGCATGTGTGGGTCTACCTATGCATGTGTTTGTGTGCGTGCCTGTGTGTGCGTGTGCGAGCATGAAGTGTTCTTGACAAGTAATAAAAGCACAAACTGTATCTGACTGCAGGGTCTGTGAATCTCCACCCCTACACTTCTCTGGGTTTCCGCGCACGGCCGGGGTCTGCACATGGCAGGGAGCAGGACGGCTTGCCAGCAGCATCTGGCCCTAGTTCGGGTGCAGAGTGGGACTGTCCTGGCTCATGTGTTGTTGGACGGGGAGGGGACCATCTTGACAATAAGTTGTGAGCTGGAGCCACGTGTCACCTCCTCGTGGGAACACTTCATTACCCAAGAGGGACCTTCCAGGGCTCCCCATCCCTCTCCGTGGTGCTAACAGTGCTGGGAGCCCAGCAGCCCACGCCCCTGAGCTCAGAGCGCCGCCCCCCCCGCCCCCCGCAAGCCGCGGAGACAGGTGGCAGGCGGCCCGGGTGGCAAGCTCAGCTGTCTTGTGTGAAGTCACTGATAACCCCGGGTTACGTTCCTTCACGTCAGCCAAGCTATCCCCACCTGGCCACATGCACAGACACGTCCTGACGCCTGCATTAGTAGAGAAAGAATGCACCAAATTCACAGATTTCATGGGCTGCAGCAGAGTGAATGAGACACATGAAGGCAGATGAAATAATGAGGGGGGTTGCTGGGAAGATCCTAATTCCTGAAAACACAAAATGAGCCAGGAATGTAACTGGGGTCTGCCCTGGGGGCCAGAGGTCTTGCTTATAAGCAAGCACCTTTCCATAATGCCCAACTTAGGGGACCCCCTTCCCCAGCACTGCCTCAAGCTAATGGCTTTCTAATGATGGAAACGGCGTGCAAAGGAAGCAAATGAAAATCAGGGAGGAATGACCTGCGGCCTAGCAGGCTTCACCTTGGAGGAAGCTTTGGGGAGGTTGGAGGGGATCCGAGGAGAGAAGGAGATTCCACACAGGAAGGACTCTGGTGGTGAATGAAAGGGGGTGTCCTGAGCCTCTGTGCTGGAGAGTTGGGGGGCATGACACGTGCCTGGGCATCCCAATGCTCATAATCGCATGGTTTTGGGATCCAGCACCACTGGGCCTTGCTTGTTGCCATTTTCACAGGGGGAGGGGACTTCAGCCTGGGGGTGTCAGAGATCTTTCTCTGCCTATGACTCAGCTCGGGCTGCAAGTCGGGGGGCTGATGCCCTGCTGGCTCTCCCCATCCCTCGTTGCTTCCGAGTGTGGTCCAGCCTGTCTGCAGGAAGCAGAAAAGGGGGGGCGTGTGGTGTGAGAGAGGGAGGGAGATTCACATGGCAGATGACATTCAGTTAAAGATTTTGAGATGAGATTGTCCTGGATTTGGGGGCGGGCTGCAAATGGAATCGGCGTCTTGTAACGGAGATGCAGAGGGAGACCTGGCAGGCAGAAGAGGAGGAAGCCACGTGGAGGTGAGGCTGATGCGCAGGGACGTGGCCACAGCGGCAGGAGGGCTGGTTGTCAGCAGCCCCTCCAAGGGGCAGGAACAGCTCCTCCCTGGGGCCCTGAGAGGAATCGCTCAGGTTTCTGGCCTCCAGAGCCATAAGGAAAGCATTCCTGTTGCTTTAAGGCAGCAAACTCACGGTCATTTGTCACAGTGGCCACCGGAGACTAGCCTGCCACCTGGGCATAGCTCTCCCTGCTACGTCCCCCGATTACAGGCCTGAGCTCTGGTGCGTTCCTCACTGAGCCTCCTGCATGAGGGGCCGGCCCATGCTTGGTCCAGGCAACCTCACTGCAAGGCTGGGTCCACCCTGAGTCGGGAAGACACCCGCCGGGTCCCCCCAGAGCCCACGTGGGTCCACCCGCATCCCGTGGTCCCCACAACAGCCAGATGGGCGGGACTTGTCCCATCCCCGGACCCCCATCTTCCCCTCCCTCTCCCTGACTGTCGCCAGATGGATGGACGCACCGATCGGTCCAGGTGAGTGGACAAGACCTGCCCGTTCCTTCTGAACAACCCTGAACGGTGCTGAAGGTGTGAGGGAACCCTCTGGGGGGACTCGCCCCTCTTTCAGACTCCCCTTCCAGCCAGCCGCGCTGTGCTGCCGAGAGGATATCGTCAACAACACCGACTCCACTGTGCACAACCCATCACTTGTGTGAATTTATGCCACTCCTCTCTTCTGTTTGAATGCGGTAAGAATTCAAATCTTATTTAAATATCATCAACGTTCATGGTAAAATTTATGTTCTTCTGATGTTTCTCTTTCTTTTTTTCCCCCTAAGAGCTAGACGTAAGGATGCTAAAATTCTACTCCTCCACCCAGATTTGGCAAAAGTAAACAGCCTACAGGGATATTTGCATCCAATTCTCAAGCTAGGTATTAACGTGTTTGAGATTAGTCTTTATCCTGGACAAAAATCATACCG